TTTTACCTCAACTTTAACTCATACATTGTATTTACCAAATGCGATTGCAAGTAAGTTTTTATGGTTCCTAGAACTCATTTCTATTTCCAAAATAGGAATAACTATCACCACTTCAGTTCTGTGCCAAGCCCAAAATACTACACAGACTTCTCCTCTGTACTACATCCTCTCCCTAAGGTCCCGTCCCAGGCCCAAGACATTAGATTTAATCTGACAATATGGGAAGTGCAGCGGTAAGTTAGAAACAGGTACCACAAGTCCTGTGTCTGAGGAAAGATCGAGAGAGTCAGCAAAGAAGATTTCCCAATTTCCAGCTTCCAGGCTGAGGTCAGATAGCAAAGCATCGCAGGTGGAAAAGGCGGGCACACGCACAGGCCTGATGTGCACAAGGGACGCGGCAGCACGTCACCATCACTGAAGCCAGTGATGGTGAGAAACGGACCTGCCAGGAGATGAGCTGGAAGAGGCAGAGTGCTGAGGACAGAGAGCCTTTCAATTCCTGCAAAATGACAACGTGTGAGTCCACGATACCCAGCAGCCAGCCAAGCCAGCATCACAGGGAATAATGGAGAAGGAGATGCTGCCTGGGGCTGACTGAGGGAGGAAAGGACACAGAGCTATAATGACAGGTACAAAGTTTCTGTTGAGACCTGAGCGGGATTTGTGCTTGAACAGTGGTGGTAACCGCACAACACTGTAAATATGCTTAATGCCCAAACTGTACACAATGGTTCAAATGATAACTTTTGTGTTGTATATAATTTACCACAATAAAAAAAACTAATGAAAAATAGTTCTTATGAACAGGCAAACAGAAAGAAAGTGGAGGGAGAGAAGGGGGACCAGCAGCAGCACCCTAACTAAGCTCACTAGTAGCTTTCGGAATTGTGTTCACTGCAGAGAGCTCTTCAGGCAACACAGCTACAGACGGAATGCTTGATCAACAGTCCAAATTCTTATGTTGAATCATAATCCCTAATGTAATGGTATTTGGGGTGAGGCTTTAGGAGGTGATTAGGTATCGACTGGAATTAGGCCTCATAACAGAGTTTCCAGACTGTTGTCTGGCCCCTTTTGCCACATGAGGACATGGGGAGAAGGTAGCCTTCACACACCAAATCTGCATGCAGTTTGATCTGGGACTTCTCAGCCTCCAGAACAATGGAGAAATAAACTTCTGCTGTCTATAACCACCCCCCCCCCAAGCCTTCAGCATTGTTACTGCAGCCCAGATGGACTAAGACTTCTTGCATAAATGCCCAAGTATAAAACATTCAGGCCACAGCAACGAATCTGGTGGGCATCAGCTTCTGGCCAAGCTTGCCAGCTCCAGCTCTATACTTACCTCCACCATGAACACTAAGGAACTTCCGGGGGACACCAGAGCTCCCCAGTTTGCGAACCACTAGTGCAGGTGATGAGAGGAATCCCAAAAACTTTCAGTCTGAAAATGATGTGGCAACGTTTCAGAAATAATAAAGCACGTGTGTTTTAGAATCAAACAAAAGTATTCCACTCTGCCTCTTGTAACTAGCCATATGTCCTCGAAAAGTCACCTACTCTGTCAAATGAGAAAAAGAAATTTCTAGAAATTTTATAGGTAGTGCCATTCCTAGACTACCTTTCCCCACCTAATCCAGCTGGAAAACTCGTACTTGCTCCAAGTTCCCCAACCCTGTTTCACCCTGTTGAGCTTGATCTTCGCCCTTCTGCGTGCCATCACTGAACTTTGTTCCTCCCCGCACAGCACCTCACATACTGCCATACTACAATTTGATTATGAGCTTGCTTGAGAGCCGGGACTAAATCCTACTCACCACCATAGACAGAAAAACCGGTACAGAGTCTACAACATTATTTTGTTTGGCAAGTGAATGAACCATGGCTAGTTCCGTACTTCAAAAAGAATCTGATAAAATCTATGCCTTCAAAAAGTTTACCATTTATGTGACAGGAAAAGGACAAACAAGTATTAAAAGATTTTGTTAGGCTGCATGTGGTAGCACATGCCTGTAATCCCAGCACTCAGGAGACTGAGGCAAGAGGCCTGTCGCAAGTTCAAGGCCAGGCTGGGCTCCAGGGTTCAAGGCCATTCTGCCCTCATCTCAGTAAACCAAAAGTAAGTATATAGGGGCTGGGGATGTAGCTCAGCGGCATAAGCACCTGCCTTACAAGCAGGTGGTCATGAGTTCGATCCCTGATACAAATAAAAAGATTAAAAAAAATAATAATAAGTATATGATAATTGTAATAAAACTTATTACATATGCATTTTAAGTATATTAATAAATTGGGGTTTATATGTTAGAATGTAAACTATCTAATGGTATAAAATAAACACTCTTACATATTTCTGAAAATCCATGGCCTTCTGTTGTAATATTTTTCATATGAGTTGATAAGAATAAGCAACAAAAATAAAAATTAAGAGCAACTGCAAGCATGGTGATGAATTCCCAGCAATTGGGAGGCTGGGGGAAGAGGGCCAGGAGTTTGAGCCTAGTCTGGACAGTTCAGTAACCTAGTGAGACACTGTCTCAAAGTCAAAAAAAAAAAAAAAAAAAAATTAAAGGGGACTCTGGGGACCTAGCTCAGTTCAATTCCCAGCATCACCATAAAAGGAACAGAGTGACAGAGAGACTGACAGACAGGAAGGCAGGAAACTGTAGGGAAGGTCAAGTTGGTCTACTTGGAAACCTGCAGGGCTCATTAGCATAAATGCCTAGCACACTGTAAGTGCTCAATAAATTTGAGGGAGTAATCTGATATATTAATCATAGAGAAAAGTTAAATCTACCCTGTAAGAGGCAAGTAGTTAGGGGTTGAGATCACAGAACATACGCTTCTTATCATGAAAACAGAACCAGATCTAGGCCCCAAACCTTCCCTTGTAGTTAGTACTCAGTTTGCAAGGGACCAGTCTAGTCTCTTATTTGTAAAAAGAAAAGAGCCATATGGTTTGCAAACTATCTCTCTACATCCTGTCCATGTGGCGATAATGCATCACGTTTATTCAGCAGCCTCTCTCCATCCCTCCATGATTCCTGGACCACAGACAGGGATTCACTAAGCTAAACCAAATGCGGAAGATGAGACTTAGTAAAATTGCTAAACACCCAGAGGAAGGGAATACTGGACATCTGATAAACTGCACTTTTTGATTGCTAGGTTGGATAAAGAGAAACTAAAATCCAGCTTAGATGTTTAAGTGGTTCCCAGGGGTAGGACTGAAAACCTGAACAAATAAGGACCCCAGACAACCAAGAAGGAAGCTCCAGCCCATAAGCCTCAGAATCAAGATCAATAAAAGAGTTTGGAAAACAAGCTCAGGAAGCTTTGTTACCTCCCTGCCGCTCACTCACTCATTGTTTCATTCATTTGTGTGCTACAGCTTATGAAAGATACAAAAAGGTAAGATTTCTGCTTCAAGATGGTGGCACACACCTGTAACCTCTGCACATGGAAGGCTGAGGCAGGAGGATTACTGGCAGTTGGAGGTCAGCCTGGAATACATAGCAAGATCTTGTCAAAAGAAAGAATGAAAGAACCTTCATACCCACAAGTAGCCAAAAGATGAAGAAAATTACAAGCCCTCAGGAAAGTACAAAAGAACGTACATTCAGAGGCTGAAGAAATCTCCTATTTAGAAAACCGGTTGTAACCACACAGCAACTCTGAAAACATTAGACCACACGTTCCCAGTACCCGGAAAAAGTGACAACGAACCCACTCGGGGCACTGCAATGAGTTAGCTCTGTACACAGGCCGCTATGCAGTCAATCAACTAATGCTCACCAACGCGCTGCAAAGCAAGCCTGTCCTTTGGACTGGGGATTTTTCTTCGGTTATTTGGTTGGTTAGTTGTCTGTTTTCCTTGCTTTTGTTTTGTTGTCTGGTGTTAGGGATTGAACCCAGGGCTTTACACTTATATGGTGCAAGTTAGACTTGCAACTAGCAACCCTCCTGGGTGCTCCGTGGCGCTGGGCAAACCGCCTCGCTTCTTTGTTTCTCCAGTGCCACCTCGCGAAGTGAGGAGGGAATGATCTTCACCATGCAAATTGCTAAGCACAGCGCCTGGCACAGAGACACTGCTCAGTAAACGGCCTTCGCTATGTCGGTCCGAGCTCATCTGTATTTCCAGAACCCACGTCCTCCAATACCCGCAGAAGCGCTCTCCACGAGTCGCTGCCGGCTCCGTAGGAACCTTTCCCCTTTCCCGCCAGCACTGTCTCCCCAGAACCCGGCTCCCCGACTGCGCCCCGCAGGTGGCCGCGTCACCGTGCCCGGCCCAGGAGCCCGCAGGCTCCGGAGTCCGCCTAGCGCAGCAGCGCAGAACTTAACCCGGATTTCTCGCTCGAGTGAACGCGAGTTAACGATCGCGGGGCCGGGTCTCACGGGGTCGGGGGGCTACGGACGCCGGCCAGAGGGTGGGACCGTCCACCTGCCGGGCCGAGGGCGGGCGCCCCCACCGCGCCCGGAACCAGGTCCCCAGGGCGGCCCGGCGCACCGACGGGGGCGCCCCGAACCCCGAGGACGACCCGGAGCACCGGGAGGGGCGCCCCGAACCCTCAGGACGACAGGAGTAACGGGAGGGGCGCCCCGAACCCTCAGGACGACCCGGAGCACAGGGAGGGGCGCCCCGAACCCCGCAGGACGACCCGGAGTACCGGGAGGGGCGCCCAGAACCCCGAGGACCACCAGGAGTAACGGGAGGGGCGCCCAGAACCCCAAGGACGAGCCGGAACACCGGGAGGGGCGCCCCGAACCCGCAGGACGACCCGGGGCACCGAGAGGGGCGCACGGACCCCGTAGAACGACCCGGAGCACCGGGAGGGGCGCCCTGAACCCCGAGGACGACCCCGAGCACCGGGAGGGGCGCCCCGAACCCCGAGGACGACCCGAGCACCGGGAGGGGCGCCCCGAACCCCGTAGCACGACCCCGAGCACCGGGAGGGGCGCCCCGAACCCCGAGCCCGCCCCGCCACGTGCGCGCCGCTCACCAGGTGCAGACTTTGCCGCCGACCGCGCGCGCCAGGCTGCCGAGCGCGCGGGGCTGCGGGCCGCGGGGGCCGGCGCGGCTCTCGGCCTCCATGCGCCCCCGCTCGCGGTCCGGCGCCGGCCTGGAAGGTGGAGGCGGCGCCTGGCGGCCGGGGGACCTGCCGCACCGCGCCCGGCTCCCGCGCTCCAGGCGGCCCGCCTCCTCGCGGCCAATCGTTAACCTGCGAGACGCGGGGACGCGGTGTCCCGCCCCCGGGAGGAGGGCGCTGAGCCCGGCGTGGCGGCCACGCCTGAAGTCGCAGCCCGCGGAGGGGAAGCCGGAGGCTGGGACCCGCTGTGGCGTGCCTAGGCCACAAAGTGAGCTCAAGGTCAGGCCGGACTCGATGTCCAGACAGAGCAAAACACACACGCAGACTCAGGCACCGCCGGGCCTTTGCTCGCGGGAGGGAGCGCTGACCTGCGCACCTCTGCAGGCTCCTCCGTGAGTTCGAACCGCAGCCCCGTCCGCTCCGCGCGAGGTCTCGCCTGCAGTGCAGCCTGGCCACGAGCTCAGCGTGCAGTCCAGGCTGGCCGCGAGCTCACGGCGACCCGAGCGCTGGCACTCAGACCGGCGCCACCGCGCTCGGGGACAGCCCGGTCTGACAGAACTGCAGGCACAGTCCGGTTCTGTTTCCCGGACTCGGGATCCCGGGACGAGTCCCGGCGGTTCCGGGCGATGCTTAGCCGGCTCGCGCCCAGGCCGCGCCTCCGAAAGCGTCGGGACCGAACCGGCCGAGAAGCAGGAACTGCAGGGCCCACTTCTGCCCCGCGCGACCGGAAGAGGTAGACGGCCTGAGAGCGCCCCGGTTTCCAGAACGGAGATCGGGAAGATGCATGGAAAGGTGTTGCGTACCAACAGCGCTCCCCACCGCTCCCGCGCCACCTCTTTGCTTTCCCGAGGAGGGGAACAAAAAGGTGTATTACGGACGACCTGTGCAGAGGAGTGGGCGGAGTTTTTTGCTTGGCTGGTTTTGGTTTTCTGAGCACTGACTCTGTCCTGGAACTCGCGACCCTTCTTCCACAGCCTCTCGGTGGAGTGGACGCTTCTGTAAGTAGCAATTAAGCGGGGGGAAAGTGAGTTTTTGAAAAATGAAGTGTGCCTTGAAGAATTCCAAATTTACCAACTACAAAAACTTCAAAGTTTAAATGAAATGATTCTTTCCAATAAGGTCTTTCCTTTAGTGTCAGCTTTTTATTTGAATACATTTGCATATATATGGTTACGCTAGAATGAAGAAGTGTGGGATGCATATCAACACAAGTAACTATAAGAAAGGGTTGAGGAAGTTGCTTAGTAGAAGAGTGTATACTTAGCATGTGTTTAGCATTCTGGATACTAAGATTTAATCTTAGTACCCAAAGATTTAATCACCACTCTAAGAGAAAAAATAGAGAATGATGGAAAGAAATAAAAAGATTTTATTACCAGGCATAGTGGCACTTGCCTGTAATTCCCGCATTTGAGAGGCTGAGATAGAAAGATCACAAATTCTATCTCAAACTGGGTAACTTAGTGACCTAGTGAGCGCTTGTCTGAACGTAAAAAATAAAAAAGGCAATGTGAAGCCCTGGGTTCAATCCCCAGAACTCAAAAAAAAAAAAAAAAAAAAAAAAAAGTCACAACAGTCGTACTTTCTAATATTGCCCAAAATGAGCTCATTTCCCAAGCTGTGGTGATTGATCTACATTATTTTGGTTGAAATCAGGATTAAAATATATTGAGTTGCTCCACAAACACCAATCCACATATTTTTGTCAAAGGAAATTGTTACAGATTAAAAACTGATGGTCAATTTAGCGCCAGCGAATTAAATCTCCATGGTACTGAGTGTAGATGTTCCACCTGACGAAAGTTGCCAGCATAAATAGAGATGTGGAGAAGGAGAAAGGAGGCGTTGAGGTGTTGAGGCATGGCGGGGGTTCTCCAACGTGTTGCTGTTTGAGCCGTTGGTTCTCCTGGAGAAGCTCTGGCTTTGTTGCTTCCTGGCTCTGGAGGGGAAAACGTGGGCTGCTTAATCTCCAGGATGAACTGCTTACACTGGCTTCCTGGCATGTACTCAACTGCTTATCATTGAAGGAACTCAAGGCCTCCATGTTGCTGAGGATGGCTGTGGTGCTTTTCAGGACAGCCCTGGTCTTTGTTTTAAGTGTGACTTCTCAGCTCCAGTGTAGAACACTCAACCTACCAGCACAGCTCCTTCACCCCACTGGCATTGACTTTCTAGCTTCCACCACTGACCTGTGGGCCTTCCCAACACGTATCCATAAAAAAAAAAAAAACTGGCTTGAGTCCTTGTGGGCCCTAGATCTCCAGCTGGACTTGTGGGAGGCATTGTCGTGAGCTCTGGGTCTTCATCTGGACTCATGTAGGACACTGCTGTGGGATTTAGGCCCTTGGCTGAATATTCTGTGTTTTGCTATTGTGGATTGATGTCTTGCACTTTGTGTTAACTGAGTGACCATTATAAAATAATATTATAAATTCCATGTCCTGATTTTAATTGTTCTCTGTATAACCCCTGACTACAACAGAAATTTACTGTAAAATGTACTAGATGTTGGAGATTCTGCATATAATAACCTTCTTTATTACAAGTACAAAAAACACACAACAAACATCTACCAAGCACCTTCCATAACCAAAAGCTTTACATTATCGATTGTATGCCTCAAATCACCCCAGATCTTTGTGGCTCCAAACAACCACTTAATTATGTTTTGTGGTTTCCGTGGACCAGTTTAGAGAGGTGTGAGCCAGTCAGATCTGGCTCTAGGTCTCTCGTGAAGTTAGTTCAAATACTGGTGAAGTTAGAAGCAGGCGGTGATGTGGGAGATTGGTGCCTCCATGTAGACCACAAGGTCTCCCCGCAGCCTAAAGGCTTCATAGTACTTGGTTTGCTTACTTGGCCACTGGTTTCCCCACTCCAGCTAGGCAGTACCCTAAAAGAGCCAAAGCACATTATCAATGACCAAACTTATGGTGGTTACTATTATGTTAGATTATCTGGGGGTGAAACACAATGATGCTTAAATTGTTCGGTTCTGACCTGTGTTGTTCTAATACAATGTCCTATTTTATCTCAATCTCCACCCTTTTTAAAATTAATCTACTTTTCTCTTACATTTTTTTTCAATTAAGGGAAAACTAAAAAAATAGTGGGATATATTATAGTAACTTTTTTGTTTTCCTATTAACTTGATATGAACCCCAGTATTGCTCTCCCCATCTTGTTCTGTCAGATTTTACTATATTCTATTTTGTTTGATAGTATCAAGTTTGAGGGTATAGGCAACCACTTTGAAAGCAGTAAGATTCACTATGATGCCCATTATGGCTTGACTATTATCTTCTTTTGAAATCCTGTAATGTCTCCAGTGTAGGTTTTATTGGTCTTGTTCTGTACTGTTTTGATCAATTCTACTATACTGATGATATAGGCAACTCTTTTTAAAAATAGCAAGAGGCACAATGGTACCCATTTTTGATCACCTGATATTCTATTTTTGCATCATGTACTGTGGGGGATGAGGTGTCACTTTGTAGGCCCAACCCCCTCTAACCTGCAATTTACAATAGCCCCCCTGGTATGCGAGACCGAGGTAGAATAGGAATGCCTGTTCTCAGTGAGATCCCTCACCCTCTGGAATCCATACTGTGAGCTGGCTTTGTTTTGCAGAAGTCTTGAGGAAGTGGCTGGCCACCCTTTGTGACACTAACAGCAGACAAATTAACAACATTCTTGAGCTAATGAATTTCTTCCTGGGCTAGAGATGTTATGAGAACTGGTTGTGGTTATTTACTTCACTTAGATAGTTTTAGAATAAACATTGTAGTCTGTCACGTTGTAGCTTGCCACAAAGAATGCCTTTTCACTACTTAATTATCTGGGCTCTGTGAACTGATCCGGTTTACTATATATGAATCTTAAAATAAAGATTGTGCGTGCAGTGCAGTGTAACGCGGTGCAGACAGCAAAGGTGCCGTGTCCTGTCTTCCTTTCCGAGCACTGTACCCCCCGTGTCCCGATAAGGCGTGTGTGCGTGTTTACCTTTCCCGGAGTTCAGAGTGCTCTAGACACTCACGACAATGTACTATGCCCATCCTTCTGTTCTAACCGACTCTGTTTTGTTTAGTCATGTTAGGTTTTATTCTTTTCAAAAAAAGTAATAAGAACTGTGGGAGTAAAAAAACCCAAAAAGTGTAATTGTTATTAAAAAGAGGAAAGGAAGGTGGTCTAAGGGATATAACCCCATGTATGTTTGAGTGTGTAGGATGGAAGTCCATATTGCTGAGCTTTTGTTGGATCATTGAACGGCATTGTCTGTAATCTCATTGTATGAATATCCACTTTATATGCTTTAATTTTATAATTTGGACAACTGTTTCTAAGATGAAACAACTGTTTCTAATATGTAACCTATTAACTAGTGATATCATACTGTATTTTTTTCTTGAAGTTCTGTATTATTTGTACCCTTTTACTGCTTTGTTTTTTTATTTTCTTTTTTCTCTTTAAATAAAAAAAAAAACAAAGACTGTCATAAAGTTTCTCCTTATTAAATGGGGGGCATCTTTGAGGAAACAAGTGGAAAAAGCTGCACTTAAAAAGTAAAAAGAACTCTAGCAAGTATGATACATTCCCTTTGTAAAATGTATGCTTTTGTGTAAATACAGAAAATTAAAAGATGGTTTTAAATGTCAATAATATTTGTAATTAAACAAGTTTGGTTTATTACACTTTATAGTAAAAGAATACATACCATGAAGGAAGAATGGACGTTTAAGAGAATCACCCCGTTCCAACCTTGACCCTCCTAGCTGAATTTCCACCCTTACAGGACCTGATTTCTGCCCTTTCCTAATCTTGTTTATCTTTGAGGACAGGATGGCTATAGGCCAAACTGGCTGTATCTTTGTTTCGATTGAATAGGCCAAAAATAGTGCAGGCTCTTGTGTTCTGGGAGAAAACAGTTGCAGAGTGTACACCTCATATTGTGTAGTGAGCAGCTACACAGGATTGTAGCAGCAGGAACGTGCAAAAGAGAAAAGGCGGAAAAATGGACGGTGACTCAGGCTTCTGGCATTTGGTGCAGACACCTCCGACACTAGGTGCTGCACGTTTCTGCAACAACCTCTTTTAGGCTGGTGGAAGCACAGATTAACCATGAGGGTGGTGTGTTCACAACTGAATGGCGGGAAAGGAGTGACCTGCTCAGCTCCACTGTGTCTAAACTGTGGCAGTCCAGTCAGCCATTCGTCCCTGTGGACTGTGCATTCTTTGAGTCAATGAACCAAAATCAAAAACAATTTTTACCTTTAGCACTGGAGATTGAACCTGGGCCTTCATACTGAGCTATATCCCTAGCTCACCTTTTCTTTCTTTCCTTCCGTCCGCCCTTCCTTCTTCCTTCTTTCCTTCTTTCCTTCTTTCCACAGTCTCACCAACTCAGTTAACTGCCTAGGTTGGGTTCTAACTTGGGATCCTTCTGTTTGCCCCCCCTGAATGCTGGAATCACAGGCATGCATCAACATGCCAGCTTCGAAAACAATTTTTTCAAAAAATTGCATCCATATTGAACAGAGTTTCTTCCTTATTCTTGTTCTTTAAACAATATTTTATAACAATTATTTACATACCATTTAGATTGCATCATATATTATAAGTAATGGAGAGATGATTTATAGTGGAGGCTATCTTTCCTCCAGGTTTTTGACCGAGTTGTCAAAGATCACATAGCCCGCTGTGCCTGGGGTTAACCACTTAACAGTTTACCCTTAACACCTAACTATTTGGATTCTTGTTTGCATATTTCTGCTTGTTTTATTTCAACTATGTTTATATACTTTTTTTCTTAAGATGCTGTATTTGCCTTTGATGGTTGTTTCTAGTGAAATCTAATAAGTTCTTATTATTTTCCTTTACTAATTTGTGTTTATTTGTGAAAAATAACCTATAATTGGGGCCAGGGGTTTAGCTTAGCAACATAAGTACCTGCTTGGCAAACATGAAGTTGTGAGTTCTGTTATAAGCTCAAAAACCCAAAATGTGCTGTCCTTATTATAACTTGTTCTCTTCCTGTAAAACTTGTATAATTGCCAGTTAAGTTGCAACCTTGTAACATACCCACCCTGCAACCCCTTCCCTGCCTCCCTGGTTCCTATAAGTGCTTGTTGGGCTACCCTGGTTCCTTATATGGGGACAAACTAACCCTAAGACCCTGACCCCTCCCCTTGCAGCTTGCTACTTTATAGCTCCCTGCAGCCCTTGGCTCCTGCAGGCTTCCCGGGCTGCTTTTCTGGGACAGTGCTGCTGCTGAGCTCAGCTAATAAGCACTTTTTAAAATTTTTTGGAGTCCATCATTTTTATACTTCTCCAGAACTCAGTGATATTCTTTTTTATTGGATTTTTGGGGTTTGTGTGTGTGTGTTATTATTTTTTGAAACAATGTCTCACTATATAGTCCAGCATTGGTTTTGTTTTGTTAGTTTCTTGGTACATTTTAGGTACACATAGTGATCACACTCATTAGAGGGAATTTTTACCTGTTATGTGATATATCTTGATTCCTCTTTTCTCTTTCCATTCCCATCCCCTCCCTCCAAACTTCTTCCCATTCACAAAGTTTTTATTTTCATGCTATTATTCTTTTCTTATATTTTCTTTCCCTTCCTTCATTTCTTCCTCCCTTCTCCCTAGTTCCCTTTTGCAGTAGAACAAGTTCTTCCTATTTTATGATATCTATTGTATATTTTGGTTCTTATTTACATTTTCAGTTTCTTACACCAGATAGATAATGTTATATTTACACATATATGTCCAGTTTATTTCACTTACAATTATGATCTCAAGGTCCACCCATTTAGCTGTAAATGTCTCAGTTTTATTCTTCTCTATGGCTGCATAATACTCCACTATATATTTTTTAAAACCCACATCTTTTTTATCCATTCATTAGTTGATGGGACATTTGGGTTATTTTCAATATTTAGCTATTATGAGCTGTCGTGCTGTTTTTATGGATGCACATATATCACTGTGGTATGATGCTGGGTGTGGAAAACAGGGAACAAAGGCAAATGGGACCGCTAATCCTAGTTTCTTGAGGACTCTCTACAGATTTTCACATTGGCTACACCAGTCCATATGCCTATCAATGATGAAGAAGGGTTCCGTTTTCCCCACAGCCACACCAGCATTTGTTATTAGTTGTTTTCTTGATAATAGCCATTCTTTTTGGAGTGAAAAGGAATGTCAGCATTGTTTTAATTTGTATTTCTCAGATGATTAGTGATGTTGAACATTTTTTCATGTATTTATTTGCTGTTTGTGTTTCTTCTTCTGAAAAGTGTTTATCATCCAGTTTTGGATTGGTTCTTTGAATTTAGAGGATATGATTATTTTTATTTTTTTACACGTTCTAGATGTTAGTCCATTGTTTGAAGAGCAGCTGGAAAAAATATTTTCCTGCACTGTGTGTTGTCTTTTCACTTTGCCAGTGATTTCTTTGCTATGCAAAAGCTTCTCAATAGGATGCGATCCCAGTTATTGATTCTTTATGAATCCTGTGCAATCAGGATTTTGTTCATAAAGTGTTTGTGTAGGCTTACATCTTCAAGATTTCTACCTATTTTTTTCTTCCAGTAAATTGAGTGTTGGTTTTAATATTTAGATATTTGATCCATTTTTATTTTAGTTTCATGCATGGTGATAGACATGGATCTATGTTTAGTCTTTGGTATGTGGAAAGCCAGTTTTTCCTGCACCATTTATTCAAGAGACTGTCTTTCCTCTAGTGAATGTGTTTGTGCCCTTTGCAAAGATCAGGTAGCTGAGTTGTTTGGAGTTTTTTTCTGCGTTTTGTAATCTGATTGATCCTCACTCTGGTGTTTTGTTTTGTTGTTGTTTGTTTTGGGGTTTGTTTGTTTGTTTGTTTTTTGC